CCAAGCACACACACACACACACACACACACACACACACACACACACACACACACACACACACACACACACACACACACACACACACACACACGATGACATCCAATAGCAGCTAATTGGGTAATCCTTTTAGTGCATTGTAAAGGAGATCGAGCATGAATAGGGCTTCAATGCTGAAGTGCAGAATACCAGACACTCATTACTGCCCTGAAGTAGGGAGATGGAATACCAGGCACAGAGAGAGGCACAAGCAGAAAGAGAAAGACACTGACTTGGAAGGACTGTGTGTGCGTGAGAGAAGGGTATTTATTCTGTGCAGCTAACATTGCATTATCCATTGACAACTACTGTATTGCCCAGCATACAGCCCATGTATCCTCTGTTTGAGATATAAGGGTCAGGATACAGAAAGAGGTTTAATTATGAATAATAAAAGTAAACAATTTTTGCACATTAATGTCATCTCAGTGTCTCCTTTTGAGACCAGGCAACTTTGACTAGAGCTCAGCTTTTAGTGAGACCCCCCAGCCCGAAATTAGATTGCATTCAGATGCTATTATGTGCATCCAAATGAGACATTAGGTCAACCAAACCATCAACCTCCATGGGTTTTAATAGATAAGGAGGTCGTCTGCACTATTCATTGGCTCTGTATGGCTGGCCAACTACTGCTCTTGTAGTGCGTGCATTTGCATAACCTTGGCAGTTGGAGTGTAGGGGAAAATGTATTTTTAATGGAGTCTAAATGGGAACCTTTAGTGCCGCGACAAGCATGGAAACTAATGCTCATGAATTCAAGAAGTCCTAAAATTAAATATCTCAAATGTCCTTTTATATTTCCTTATTGAGCTGCATCCGCCCATACTCGATTGGTTATTACCTTACAATGCGTTTCTGCACCTTTTTGTTGTAATACCTCAAACATGCGCAGTGCCATGGAACCAGTCCAAAAAAGGTTTTAAAGACTTGGATGCATCTTCTGTTAGATAGCTCTTATCAAAGTCCAGCTCAGCTGTCATAAAATATTAACTTCTCTGGCTTTTATTCCTCTCTAAAAACAGCAACTGAAAATGTAACAGATGGAAACGTTTTTTTAGACGTTCTGAATTATTGCTCACCCATTACTCGCACATATACTTTTTCCATTACTTGTCACCCTGTCCCATTCGTGTGTGATATGACAGCCTTTTTATTATAAAACTCAAATTTGATCGATTGCCATAAAAGCTTTGTTGCGATGCTGTTTGTACATTAACGGAGGATTCGGAAAAAGACTTCATGGTTATGGTCAGAAATATAGAAGTCACAGCGACTAATACATTTTACTAGTGTCAGATCAGTTAGTTTGTACTGGTGTTATAAAGGTGTTATAACGCCTCATCGGGCTATATTTTGTATCAATGATAGGGCATGAGAACTTTCAGTATATAGACATTTGGATTTCTCACATAGTCACACACACTTATTATGATATATCTTCGTTTAAGAAAGGACAACATGTATAGGTAGGTAGAAAAGAATGAGGCCTTTCCTGGCACTGAAGCCTGATGACCCCCAAAAGCTGAATACTCAATGATAAGATTGTCATTCTTGAGCATAACTGCCTCCCATCCTCCTAATCTTCTGTGGCTGTGCGTGTGTGTGTGGATGGTGTAATGTGGGAGTAAGAGGAAGTAAGGAGGAAGACACAATGAGCTCACTTTATGGGGGTCTATATCATCCCAAAAGCAGCTGGAGATATTTGCTGCAGGCGATACCTGTGCTCAGCTCCAAAATAAAGGCCCTTGACCTTGTTTTGCTACTTTGTTCGTTACAGGGAAACTTTTTTTCAGCAGTCTGACTTGGGATAATTGGGAAGAGCCATAAGTCGACATTCATCTGCTGTTTACTTCTAAACAGAAACAGTTTTATTCCTGAAAAGTTGACTGTGGGTGTTGGAATGTTGGATTGCCGTGCTTCTTTGGCAGAGCCTTCATTCACGAGTGGATGCTGTTATATAGGTATCTAGGACAGTTATTTTAAGAAGCATCTCCTCTAGCAGGTCATGACAGCTTCAAATGATTGTCACACGGTAATGAGCAAAGCATTAGTTATTGAAAAAAGCCAAAAGACAACCCAAAACAGAATCATCTGTCAATTCAAGATATTTACATAAAAAAATGATCTCTGCTGTGCACATAGAAAACAAACAAACAAACAAACATCTCAGTCAGTGAAATGACAGGGAACTGTCTATTCCCACTTCTTTTTTACTCTCACATTGCTTGGTACAATTCCTCCCCTGTGTTTTTCTCCACACAATAATTTGGTACAAACAAAGCTGAACATGCCTGTACAAGTGCCCTATACTTACCCACTCACCTTGTCACCTGCACAATGTACAAGAATTCATGTTCTCAGCAGGTCTCAACACATATCTCACTGTACGCGAGTGTGACAGAAACTGGGAGTTGGCGAAACAGCTCTCCTTCATGTGTTACAATTAATTGTATAAAAGAAACAGAGCAATATTTAGGAACCGTGGGTTGGTGGGGGGTTACTTTAGGTAATCACTGGGTGGGGAATACACTTGAAAATCATGTTGAAAACACCTATAACTACCAGCTTAGCCTTCAGGGGTATTTATATCCCAGGAGTTGTTGTGCTTATATCAAATCAAACCTCATGCTGGTCCCTATTATTTTAAGCTTTTTTTTTTTAAACAATGGTTTGCCCAGTAATGGCTGAGCTGAATGAAAAGAGCACGAGTGGCAGTTTTCTGGGTCAAAATCAGACATTTCATTTATAGCCAGTGCGTCCTCATGCACAGAGATGATTTCATTTTAAAATTCAGTTTGCATTTAACAAGCAAAAGCCTTGGACTGCTTCCATGCATAGAAACTTTGGAATTATTATTAATGCTAGCTGTAATTTGGTATGATCATAAAGTGATCCTAGTTCACCTTACTTAAACTTTGCAAATTGCACACTTAAATAAGGAGGAATCTGCTTGTATCCTGCATGAACTGCAAGGCTTTGAGCCTCGCACAAGTCTCTGCCATCATTTCAGATCTAGTCAGAAAGCCATGCTGTCTTTGAGTACCTGTAGTGGTGACTTACCTCCATTATTCCTTGCCTCCACAGTCTCAGTCACTTCTGCTTTTGCCCTGTCTCCCCAAGCTTTGTGATCTATGAGCAAACCATCCTTAGCCGAACACTGGCAGGGCCGGTGTGGGGAAAAAAGTAATGTCTGCTTTTGTTGTTTGAGGTCTCTTAGGTTCCTTTCCTCAAACCTCTTCAATACCTGGAACACTCAGTCCGTCCCGTCTCCCATACTCTCTTACATTCCTTCAGAAACTTCTCTCTCTCTCTCTCTCTCTCTCCCCTCCCCTCTCTGTATCCTTCTTGCCTCTCCCCTGAACTCCCTCCCACTCTCTCCTTCAATCTTAACATTTGCCACTCTGTCTCACCCCCTTCCAGCTTTGATATATATTTTATTGTTTTTTCAAAGCCTTTTGGACCATTCAATAAAAAATGTTATTTTTCTTAGCATTATTAGTTATGTTAGATAAATATTACTTATATATATACTTATATATATCTGTATTTGTCCACTATTTCTTTGGGATTTATGCTCGTTCTTGTTCCCTGCAAACATCGCTCCACCTGTCTCTTCCTACTTTTCTTCTTTACTCTTTTTGCTCTTTCACTGGCAATAACTTACTGCCTCTGTATCCATACAGACCGTAAATCATCCATCGCCACACCTCTAAGGCACACTCAGTTTTCGAAAGCGGTCAAAATACCTCAGTGCTTGAAAGTGTACAGTGTCAAAAATGAATCCCATAGTGTTCTTTTCTTGTGAGACCATGTGTGACAGTGTAATTACTTGAACCTGTACAGCCCATATGTGTGCATGTGTGCACCAGCAGGTAAGTTAGTGAGTGGCTGTGGGGCGGATGACTCATACTGTTACCCACCTTGCTGCGCTGCTGTAGATTTAACCCGCTTCACTGCATCAGCCGATTTTGTCTTCTATCACGTACACAAAGGAAGCTCTGATTTGGTTTATTTATGTTACAGATGAGTTGAATAAATCACCAGGATGGCAGGTTATAACCCCACAGCGTAGTCTTGGCAGAATACCCATTTGATGTGCCTCAGCTCCCGTTTCGTCTTTCTGTGTCCGTCATGTTTCTCTGTTCCTGTCTGCATATCTTTCTTCTTGGTGTTTGTTTCACCTTTTCTTTCTCTTTCTTCCTTTACAGTCTAAACTCATTTGTTATTCTTAATCTTCAGCCCCAGAAACCTCAAAGACTGCTGCATCACAATTAGAAGTATCTAAACTTCTCCGTCGTTCAGGATTAATGCAGTAAAATAAAGTTTGAACTCCTTTGTTGGCTGTGAATAAAAAGTTCTATAAGTGCTCATTGCCATCTGGGCATATTTGGTGGAGATACAAAGACTTCTGTCGGTGTTGCTGATGTGCCAGATTTTCTTGAACTGACACTGCGCTTTAGAGTCTGGGCGATGATATGTAATCAGCAGCCAGGAGCACAGTCAGAGATACATCTTTATACTCAATGGGTGGCAAAATAGGCATGCCTATATTTAATAGTGTGTTTGGGGCAATTGTTAAAAGCCTGTAATTTTAGTCGTGACCAATCTCGTTTCAGTGCTTCACAGCATCATTTCCCCCTTTGTATTGTTTGTTGCCTGTTGCTCCTGCTAAACATACCCAGGTTGCTGTGTATGTGCGTGTGATGATGACAAATCTGCTGCTATGATAAAATTCAGTCTGTTTTTGTATGTGAGTCCAAAGATGTAAAATGAGGAGCGGTGCTGTTAAAAATATTTATTATTTGTGTACCTCAGCACTCATGCGTGTTTGTGTCTAGCATGCGTATAAGGCTCTTTGTGTATTTACACTCACTGTCATATTAATCTTCTAGTGAGTCTCTAAAGATTGCGTTATACAGGAAAACTATTAAAAGATGTTTTGTGTTTTCAGCTAAAAGTGAAAGAAGCAGCGTGATTACTCATGTGAGTTTTATGTTTTCTGGACTTTGACAAGCAGCTCGGGCTGTCAGGTTGTGAATGGGCTGCAGGAATTGATTGGATTTTTATGTCAAATTTACTCTTCCAGAACGCGCCTCCTTTTCTTGGCCTGGCCCTATCTTCCTGCTTATCTTCACTCACCCCCACAGACACAAATAAGCGCATGGATGAAGATCAATACCTCACTGAATTTAAAGACCCTGCATAATGTTGTTGACCCAGCTGGCACAAGCAAGTGACCCTAATCAGTGGCCAGAGGAAGGACACAGCTAAGTGAAAACACATAGATGGCCATACAGAAGTTGCACCTATGCTTCCGTACATAAAACCATCCTCGTGCATGTTCGTGTAACCCCACACTAGCATTTGAGATTTGGGTTAGGGTGCAAAAACAAGGACACAGAAACACACACACAGCTGAGCTTAAAATCCAATTTCTTATGTAAGTGTGCTCGGTGCTTGCCACATACTTTTGGCAGACTGGTGGATGTAGGCAGCTGAATGTGTATCCAGCGTGAATCCGTATGGAGATAAAAAAGTCGTAGTCAAGTCATGATCCTCTTGTACTCTGAACAAACATGTACAGTAGCTGCGTGATGCGTAAGTATTGTTGTAAAGCTACTGTGAAGATTAGCTTTCCAAAATAATCTCTGACGTTGCCTTTTGCTGAAACATTAGTCTTAAATTTAAGTTGATCAAATAAATAAAGGTGCAGAATTAGGTCAGGTCCCTTTTATTTATACTTTACAGCTTCTATGGAACTATGTTCTATCAGGAATCACTTTTCTGGTGAAATACTTAAGGTATCATTTCCTTCACTAAAATCAGTGTTCACTGTGAGAGGTCGTCATAATAGTAATCGACAGTAATAAATGAAACCCAAACCTCTTCGGCACAGGAAACTGCCCCTCTTTTGGGTTGTAAACAGGTAGCAGTAACATTGACGCTCCAGTTTAATTACTGCGAACTACTCCCCAGTGCTCCTTCTATCTCTCTAATAGCATTTCCTCTGCTGTCTAAAATAGTTTGTGGCTATCACACTAGGCCCTCCATCATTTAAACTGTCTATTTGGGGAACATTCAACCCTCCAGAACTTGAATCACTCAGACCTGTGAAAAAAAATTTGGCATGCATTCGTCTGAGTTAGGTGCCTCTGCACTAACAAGCTCAATGGCCTTCGGTAATCCTCAGGCCTTGGTCTTTTCTCCTTTCTGAAGTGCTTTTCTCTCTCTTTTTTATCTCCTGTCAAGGCTGACAGCTCCACTGTGCATCAGCATGTTCACCTGGGGCCGAGCCGAAGGGCAGATAGAGATAATATTGACAGAAGTCGTAGTCCGACAAAGATAAATGATGTCACCAAGAAAGAAAGGAGTGGAGAGAAAATTGGACAAGAAATGTAAGAATTGAAGAAAGAAAGTGATGGAATTTGAGCAAGAAAAGGAGGTAAAGAGGCCAAGGTGAGGTCTGAGTGCACAAAAGTAGGGCTTGAGCTAAGGCTTTATTGATTCTGTTGGCTTTGTCTGTCACCGCCCAGGGGACACACTTGGCCTATGATGTATGGCTGCTTCATTCTCTGCTGCTGCAGCAGCAAGGGACACAAGTCAGGGAGTCAGCCACTACAGGGACCTTGTTTTACGCTACTGGTACAGCAGAGCCAGGGCAGCCCGCCGAGCCATGTACATCACAACTCCGCTGAGAGGTGGCGCGACCCAAAGAAACAAAAGAGACTTCCACCTGCTCGTTGACCTGAAGGAACATGGCTTCCAGCTAAACTTCATTAATCTCCCACTCCCGCTGTCCGGCAAAAAATACACGAACGAGTCGTCGATAAATAAAACCCATACAGATATTTTTGTATTTCTCTCTGGTGTGAAAAAAAAAGAAACGCACAACTTCACCCATTTCAAGAGATGAAGTCAGAGTAAGTGCGCATACATACACACACAGATGGCCGCACATCAAAGCATCGATAGCTGTCTCTCTCTGCGCGAAGGCAATTTGCTCTGCCCAAGATCTTGCGCACCGGTAGCATATAAATAAGCTTGGCACCATGTGGCCGGAGAGCACAGTAACAGCCCGTCAGGTTAGATGAGGACAATAAAGTTGTCTAGTTGCACACCCAATGAGTGGCACATTTTGAGAAAGTAGTACACAGAGATACTGATGTTGTCACTCAGACACTCACGCAGGCAAATACTGGGGTTATTAGTATTGATTTAATGTGCCTTGCTTTAACTCCGCTAAGCCACGATTTGATGAGACTTTAATTCATCAACATACTCTCTCTGTTGAAGGTGTCGGGCACCGAGCCGGGGCATTGTCTTCACAGACAAAAAGGGATTAACTAACTTCAGATAAAAGTTTGGGTCGAAAACACGCACAGATCTCCTCATCAGTATACATCTCGAGCTTTCAGAAATGTGCACACGAGAGAGGTTAACGGTAGGACAGGAACGCCTCTGGCGCTCAGTGAATCTTTCTTTGGAGCTTCCAGTTGCTATTTCACACTCATTTTACCTTTCAAACTACATTTGCACATAATCCAATTAAGTCGCGGGGTTAGTAAAAGAACTGTTGCTGATGATTTAAGTTTTTGATGTATGGGCACAGAGAGTTCCACGGTGCCTCTTCCCGTATGCGGTGCAGATGGATCACCGCTGAAGTCACCATCCTCCACTTGTTTTGCCCTGCAGGTGTTGTGTGCATAGTATAAATTTCACAAATAAAGCCATCCATCTCTCCCTCTGGTTAACACTTCAGACGCTAACAACAGTTAACTGCTTTGAGAAGTCTTAAGCATCCACTAATAGGGATTATATGGAGTGTAACTGGGCTATAAATTGCAGAGAGGTGCACAGTCAAATAGCGTGAACAGAATAGAAGAATACACCAAACAGTCTGCCTCTCTAAAACCCGTTTGTCTCTCAGAGAACAATTAGGTGATGCCGGGTCGAGGAGACAGTTTTATTTAGTTTATTATTTTGATAGTGCTGACATTCAATTGAGACACACTCGATGAGTGTTTCACATCAATCATGAAAATAGAGGTCTGCAAGCCAGCAGTTATTACTTTGCAAAGAGACCAAGCTCGTGAAAAATGGCCCCACATTTCAATAATATTCAAGCGGCTGTGAATCCTGGCACAGCGCTAAACAAATGCGTTAATACACCAATTAAAACAGGGGCCCGGCTGCACTAATGCACCTCTAAAAATTGTGCTGCAGTCATAATACCTGCTTGTGATTCTAGTCTTTTTTTTTTTTT